AAGGTCCCTTCCCACCCAAACCCTTCTATGACTGTATGATACAGCATACAACAGTTTACCTTCTCTATCCAGCTACTCATGTGCAAAACAGTTCCTAACACACAGCATAAAATAATGCAGGACAGGAGACACAGGAAATTACTTTTTATGCTACCCATTTTAGAAAAGTAACTTGAAGATTAAGATTTGATAAATCAAGGAGAAGTTCTATGGCTTATTTTTGGGGCCAAAATAGGGCTCAGATTTCATACCATGCTGTAATGTTACAATTATTTTAATTGAATAGCTGTCTGGAATGATGCAATTCTCGTAAGATCATGCAGTTCTGATCTGTATCAGATTTTTATTTTTTTTTTTACTGGGGGGGCAGGGGGGACAGGGACTGTGAGAGTATTGGGGTTTTGCTTCATCTGTAACTGAATTAGAAAGGATCCTTCTGTGACCAAAATGAAGACTTATGTTTAAAAATTCTAATACCCACAAAATGGGCAGACTAATACATGTTTTCTGCATCTATCCAATTTAAAGTGTGTGGAATATTCAATCACAGTTGGTATACAACTGTCACAACCACAAAATTACATTTTAATTTTAGCAAAAATAACTTCAGCACTTGCTGGATTGGAAGAAAGGTTAGTTGGTAAAATACAGAGACTAAATTATATTGTTGATTAGCCAAGATAGTACTTCACTGTGTGAAAGTAAGTTTCATATTTTTTGCAGACATACATCAAATCTTCATCCACAGAACAGTCTGTATATTTGCACAAAATATAACAACTGATGATTAAAAGATTTTTTCTTTTTTTCAGTCGATGGTCATTGCAGTCTTCATATGGAGAGTTCACTGACATAGGGAAACGTGAAAAAGTTCAGAAAAAGCCAAAAAATATCCCATGCAGGTAAGTATGAAAAGCATAACATACAAAACTATAACGACTGAAAACTTCCAAATTCTTAATCCTCATTTAGAAAGATATTAACTGATACTTCATAACCAGGAAAAGTGTATCAGAGAGCACCATATGAATAGATCTACTGACAGTAGCCTGTTTAGCCTCTGGTTAAAGGTGAAGCCTAAAGACACTGCTGCACAAAGCTACAGCCTACAGAGAGAGGCAGTATGTCTTGGCATAGTATGCCTCGGTGTGACATTATTCCTTCGTGTTTCTTACCTTCACCACTTTCCATGCCTTCTACAAAAATACCACCACACTGGGGCAGAATCCAGTATCGGCGCCTGTAGCGATCTTGACCGAACATCATTGAACGCAAACAGTGTGAAGCTTCAAATAATTTCTTTCTGTATTGGCTTTGTTGCTGTTTTAAAAAAGGGGAAGCATTATAATTCAGTAGGGGGGAAAAAAATCCATTATAACGAAATAATCTCCTGGCTGCCAGACTGAACAGAAGTTCAAGGGTCACGTGAGAGGGCTCTCACAGATTTTGTGTTTGTGTTATGTGATATTCTACTCACAACTGCTGCCTTGGTGATTTGACTTACAGAGCTCCCTTTAAAAAAAAAATCAATTCAATCCCTTCCTGGTTCAGCCTCAGTTTATCAGTCTTCCTTTAAAAACACACTTTGCGATGGTAGGTCCTGTCTTTTTAACACTGACTCCCAGAGAACGACAGGATCAAAGATTTCATTGCACAAGAACAGCTGACGCCCTATCGATCATACAGTAATAGCAAACGGAGCACAGAGCGCTGAAGGCAGCTCCTGATGGGAAACTAATGACATATTTTAACTGGTTCATAAAAGAACAATAATGTCTGAAAATAAACTCTGTATTCTAACACGAACAGTTCTCTGAGGGGGGCCAACAAGACTTTCAGGGCGTTTATGCAATTCTTGTTCTGCTAAATTGACACTGCTGGAAGTCAGGTGTAATTCTGGACTGCTAATTCATTGCAATTTGCAACATGGGAAAAACTAAGAGACAAAGTCTTAAAATGACGAATTTTCTCGTACGATGAATAAAAACATGGGCTATCAGCATCGTTATCTACAGCAGTCTATCTTTCTCATTTACATTTCTCTTCCTATTCCATTGTTTCTTCTTTCAAAATCTGAAGCAAGGACAGATCTCTGTACCGGTTTACAACACAGCTGCAGAAATTAGCCGATGGTAGGAGGGAAGGAGGACTGCCATAATTTGTATAATGGAAAAGTCATTGCTTCTTGTAAACAAAATTTATCATCACTTTCAAAGATCAACAAAGAGAAGTATATCAATTAGGTCTGGATAAAAATTATATTACTTTTTATTCTGAGATGCATGACTATACCACCAACAGCTTTCTAACTGTCTTTTGAGTCATACCCACTTAGTGCTGCTAAACTCACAACTCAGGTGTCATGAACAGTAGCATCATATTCATATTTTCATGAAACAAAAGCTCATCTTTATTTCAATTTATACTAAGTTGGAGCATGGAAAATGTTAGTTAACGTTCTAACTCATGACATCTAGTGATCAAATTTGTAGTATAACAAAGACAAATGACCTCTCACCTTTGTCAGTTTATCAATCTGTTTCTCTAGTTCTTCAACACTTGCTGTTTGGTCCCCATCATCCTATAATCACCAAATATACTGTCACGCCAAATTTATTTCAGGATAAAATCATACTATATCTAACTAATATTACAGTAAAAAGATGTAACAGAAAATGAGAGGCAAAATCTAAGAGTAAAAAAGTTTAGATCTTGTGCTCATTCAATGTATTTGACTAGGAACAACATAACTGGAATTCTTTCCCAACCATCCCAGATGCATACAAAGGAGAAAGCTTGTAGCCAAATGTTCCCTGTAAATATTCTTTTACTGGAAGCAATAATTCAGTTTGTGCATGAACAATTAAGACTATAGAATTTAATCTTTGTTTCTTTGAAGCTTTTTAGATACTCAAATTATTTTCTAAGTGTTTTTCATGCATGACCTAACGGAATCTGTCAAAATCTTATCCATCAGTCTTTGGTCAGTGCACACTTGCATTTTATTTCAATGTCTACAAGAAATTGTAGAGCCACTTTAAATTACAAGTCTGCTATAAAAGTTCCAGTATTAATCTTGCTGATTTTTGAAGAGGAATGCACCCATGGTTAAGCCTATGGTTCCCTTCTATTTGACACAGTTTAAAAATGAGAGTCATTTCTATAAAGAGAGTTTTAATTTAGTTCAAGAAAGTCTTTGGGGATAACAGCAAGTTTCCAAAAGAATACAACCAAAATCCTAGGGGCTCCCAATCACCTGCACCGTAAGATACTGGTCTTGCACTTCTTGGCCCTGTGAAAGTGCACCAGAGCGAAGCCTTCTGAAGTACCACATATAGCATGAATGCAACGGAAGTTCTGTTATACAAGGACATTAATCACTCTACAGGAGTTACAGGACTTTTGCCTATGAAATGCCCAGTGCACCAATATACAAGATTGTGCTAAAGGGAAAAAGACTGAGGCACAAATGTGATTAGATGCCTAAACAGTACTTATTTTTAATTCTGAAGTATTAATTTGTACGAACTCCATGCTATGCCTCTAAGGTATTCTCTTAAATTCACACTCTTAAATTATAGTACTTGAAATAAATCCAGAATAATAGCACAAACAGCTGTTCCTACCCTAGAAGCTAGCTGGGTTTCCAATGAAGAGTGCTTGCAAAAGTTTGAGTTCACATAGCATGTTGCATACATGCATGGTTCAAGTGGCCATATCCGCAGCACCCGTAAAACCTTACTGTGAACTTTTATAACCTTGCATAAATGAATCGGTTCCGGCAAACCGTGCAACATCCAGTGCACTAAAATGTAGCATTCGGTATCACTTGTGTCTCTTATCAGGTTTCATCCCGCAGAGAATTCTAGAGTTCCACAGGGAATCTTACAGGCCTGTGGCACTTCTATTACAAAAATCTTTTGACCATTGTAGATACAATTCAGCTCAACAAGCTAAAAATGTTTCAGTGGTCCTTCCTGTACCTTATCTGATATTAACTAGCAAAATTTATCATCTCGTGATCCAATACAGTTGGGCAGTGATTACCCTAGAAAAGTTATGAAAAAAATACACAGGAAGGTCACAAGCAAGCTTTATAATAAATAATGTTAAATGTAACTTTGCACTTCTTTATTATTTTGTTAACTAATAAATAACATTTATTCTCTGCTAAGAGAAAGCTACAGTTATGCTCATTTGCTAACAGGGTTGCAGTTCTCTGGATCTGGTACAATCTTTCAGAATTTCAGAGAAATTAAGATTAAGTCAAAACGGGGATGG